CCTCCCCAGCGTCCCCCCCAGCCTCCGCCCCTGCTCTGGGTTTTCAGCACCAGCCCCTTCCCCTCCGCCCCTTCCTCGTTGCTGTTTTTATTTTAAGCTGTGCCTACGATCATCTTCGTGGTGCGTAGAAGCCATTTATTATTTAACTGGTATCGCGATGGCCGCACAGAGTGTAGACTATAAACCAGAACACACTTCGTCCAAGGCCCGCCCCTAACAGTCATGGCAGCGTGCGTGTCGGTTTATGTCACACATGGCAGATTCTTGGTGTTCTGTACTTGGACACGTGTATTTTTGGCACTATGGAATACAAGTTTGGTTTTCAAAGTTACTGCATGGTTTTGAGTGTGAGAGTTTGTACACGTGTGTACTCACGTCTGACGGATAAAGGCACACACGTAAGTAAGCCCCGTGGTTTCTAGTCCTTAGTCTGGAAGCTTTGAACTCGGTGTCTGTTTCCTCCGACCTCCCTTCCAGCAAGGAGCGCCCTTCGCGGAGTCCTCTGCCCACCCAGCTCAGCAGGCGGCGTGCTCTGGCCCCGGCGGCCGTGCGCTGCGTCCAGTTCTCAGGTGCGTGGCGAATGGGTCTCGGGGACCTCGGTCACTTGAGGTCGTGTGGCCATGCCCGGGTCTGGACCAGCATGGGGGCCGACCCCCGGCTGGGCGTGCAGCGGCCGCAGACCGGCACCGGCTCTGAGTCACGAGCTCGCCCAGGCCTGCGTCCCCGTGTCTGGCCGTCTCCCCCCGGTTCCAGGGGCCTGGCGGAGGGCTGCTCTAGAGGGTCACCAGCTCCCCCAGAGACCGGTCACCCGGTCCCAGGATGGGCGGAAGGAGAGGGTCTGCACGGTGGACGAGTGGGTGCGCCCGCCCTCGGCGGAGCCTTCCCCATGGCCGTGCACACCCTGGTGGCAGCGCCCTGTTCGCTGGGCACCCGGACGCCTTCGCCGGGACGTTCCTGTGCCATGTCGGGGGAGGTCAGGCCACCCGCCTCCACGAGCGTGCCACCAGCCAGGGCCCAGAGTGTGTTAGGTGGCATCCTGGAGGTCACCGCTGTTTACAGCCATGCCGAATTCCCCTTGCTTTTCGTAAAATTCTCGCCAAAGAGGTTTTAAAGTAAATTTGGGAAATTGGATAATGCAGTGTTATCGTAAGTTAGATATGTTTATGCAGTTTGACATGCTTGTTCCTGCACACGTGATCACGAAGCAGGATCAAGTTGGAGTATGAGGGGGAAAAGCTGTCACTCCTGCCTCGTCTCAGGGAACGATCGGCCTAGCCCAACATGCCACTTAATCTCTGTGGGCAGGTCCGGCTGCCGCGGCTCAGCGGGGCAGCTGGGGTTCAGGGCGCTCCGGGTTCTCACCGTGCTGGGCCGGCCAGCCCTGCGACCCTGCTGGTCCCCGGGCACCTCTGTCCACAGAGTCAGGCGGCTCTCAGTGCAGGTGGGCAGCAGTGGGGAGACACCAGGTTAACGAAAAATTCTACGTTTCACCTGCTGCAAGTGTCACTCCTGTGAGTGGTGGGTCTACAAGGGGCGTCTCTTATTTTTCTCAAGCAGCAGATGGACGGCGGCTGGCCTGTGGCTTAGCCAACCACTTGTCGCTGGTCTTTGATGCTGATCTTACTGGGACACCTGCTGTTTTTTCAGGTAAAATGTGGCCAAAGTTCAGTTAACGTGAACTCACGGGGGGGTCTCGGTTCGGTCCTGGTTGTGAATTGCGAGGGCCGCTTTGGTTTCCTTGAAGGGAAGCACAGAATAGAAGGGAGGCTTGAATTGGGTGAAACAGTGAGATTTAACAAAGAGACAGCTTGGCACATCACAGTGAGTGTCACTCGTGAGGCCAGAGCTCAGGCACCGCGGCAGTGCCCCGCCCGGCCAGGCCCGGAGCCTCCTGGGGGAGGTGAGGTCGGGTCCTACAGACGTGCGACGAGGCGTGTGCTGAAAGGTGGAAGAGTTTGTTAGAGACGTGTAAGTGTGGCAGGAAACCATGTTTTTGAGCACGAAGATCTGAGCTGAGGGCCATGGTGTTACAGAATGACCGTTCACGTCGCCGCGGTGACATCCAGGTCCCGGTCCTGAAACCAGGCCATCGGCCATCCTCGCAGGTTCCCGGGGCTGCTCACTTCAGGGTGCGTCTTGTAGACACTTGAACAACACACATGCGTGTGCGCGTGCGTGTGCACACCCCCCAGAGGCCTGCGCTAGCCCGCGGCTCATGGGCTGCCGCGGAGGGGCCCGGTCCCCACGCGGTGCCTCCCAGTGTGCGGGAGCGAGGCCCGGGGGGCGG